AGAAGCAATAAAGTGGGTCGAACAGTGCCACCATTCGATTAGTTGGGAGGTTCATCTTGTTAAACACTGACTTGAACATGATGTTCACGGAGCGTCCAGTCTCAACCAAATTACTACCTATCTAGTAGTTGCCTGTCATCGTTGTAACGAAGATAGCATCGTTGTAAGGATTTCTCCTTTGGGGCAAATCTGCGTCTGTGAAAGTGATCACATGGATGGGCACTGTGCTTTGGAGCGAAAGTGGCAACACAGTTTTTCTGACTAAGCCTTTTCTAACTAGCTCGCAGGAGTGAATCTCCACCTCCACCAAAAATAGCTGGCACTGCCCCAACAATGTCGATGGCATTTGCTCAGACCGGTTCATCCGAGATTTCTTCTATTGGGGCCTTCATATGCCTTTGGGTAGCTACTCTTAGTGCCACCAATTCTTTGAGCTTTCCACATCTTATCAACTCATCAACCAGGCTTCAGAGGTGTCTGCATCCTGTTTTCAATATTCATTATCTCTATGGTAGGCAAGGTATTTTTTGTCTCTCAGAGAAAAGCTTTAACTCTTATCGGTGGTGCCTTCTTGAAGTACTTATTTTGAATGGCCTCCACGAGCTCCTCCATCGATACTCTCTGAAGAGTGGTTTTTGGAGTCTCATGATCATTAAAATTTTTTTCATAATAACGAACCAGACATCAATCAGGGTATCGTGTCTGACCTTCTCGATTGTGGTTCCAGTTGTCCCCATGTAGTCCTGGGACAGCCGATGATCTTTACTTCACAGATGAATAGAAGGATGCTAGTCTTCCCTTGGTCTCCATCTGTCTTCTCTGGGGGCCCTCTTTTACGGACGACAGGTGGCTGACTCTACTCTAGAGGAAGCATGGTGGAGTTGTACTCTATGATCGAAATATGATTGTTGTCCAATTCTATATAGTTTGTCTTAGATTTTTGGTTGTTGGAGACCCAAAACATAGCGGAAGGGTCCCTCCTTAAGCCCTTGAGCGAGGGCGGCCTATGCTACAGAGGGTTCCAGGTCCCACGCCTCTAATATCTTCTTCTGGAATTATGCCACGAATGATCAAAGGTTTTCATGTTGCTCTTGCTTGATTTATAGCAGGGCTTGTGAACTCTTCTACAACTTCCAGGCACTAGCAAATTATGCCATTAAACATCCTCTTAAAATTGGTGAATGAAGTGGTTACTCCATCTGGTAATAGATTGAACCACCTGTGGGCCGACTCTCTCAGCGCGGTGCAAAATAGACTGCACTTCAGAGCATCAATAATCCTCAACAAATAGATGGTCGTCAAAAGGGTAAATATGGTCGACTAGATCAGTCAGATCACTGTATGATTTCAACGATGGTATCTTGAACTTCTATGGGGGTTCAACAATAAAAATACACCGAGAGAACTCAATATTAGGCTAGTAGGGGGCCTCAGTTTACCCAAATCATTGTCTGTCCATCAGTGCCAACATGGCACTGTCTTGATACAAGAATTTTTTGCTCTTTTTAGGTTTTAAATCTCCTTTCGGTCATTGGGCCTTAGCTCTTCCTATCGAGGGTTATGTCATAGGGACTTTGTTCTTTTCCCCTTGCCATAGCTTCTAAAATTGTTTTTGTCATTCAATCTAGCATTTGATCCCTCAACTCTTGGGTCTATTGATGCACAAACTCCCTTGTGCACTCTATATCAGCAGTACCTCTTTATTGGGTCTCTTCTTCTTGTTGTTGGCATGCTCCACACTCATCACACTTTTTTAGAATGTTGAATTTGTCTGGGCTTCACACCTAAGTAATAGAGCTTAAAATGTGTGTGTGTGTGTGTGAGAGAGAGAGAGAGAGAGAGAGAGAGAGAGAGAGAGAGAGAGAGCACATTAATGAACACAAGAACGAGGAGAATGTGTAACCTCTTATTCATTGAATGATCCCCTATTTGTTGACAAAGGAGGCACAATATGTATAATTACGCACTTACCCCTGATTTAATGAGACAATTACAAAGTATTTTGGGTATTTACATAAATGAGCCTATGAATCGACAATAATATTGTTAAGTCGACAACGATTAGAGGGTCTTGGTTCAACAATACTCGTTTGTCCAACTATGCTGAGTTGGGTCTGTCGATATGCTCCAGTTGATCTTTGGTCGCCCGAATTTTGCTCGGTTAACCAGAGTCAACCAATTAACTATTTTGGTTCGGTTTTCGACCATTAACCTCTAGATGATGAGCTTTTGTTGCTAAAATGAGATTAGACTGTTAAGCAAATAGTGAATGATGATAATCCGATAGGTAGCTCACCCTTTTGACAAAAAGTCCTTTAGGCTATTCATGGAGTATATGAGGGAAAGATCCTCGACCTCCTGATGAAGAGTCTCAGAGGCTCTAATGAAGCGACTAGCAATATTGAGGCGAGAGTTGGGTTGAGGCCTTCTCTCGACTTGATGGATCTTAGTCATTGGCTTAGACAACCTCCATTCAACCGACTTCAGGCCCCAATCTGAGAAATCTGCACTAAGTCAATCAAGTCATTTGATTTGTTGATGATGAGACTTTTTATCTTTCTTTTGTGAGCCATCTCTGGCCTTATTTTCCTGTCTCTTAGTCCGTTGGATTTTCTCGAGATTTATGCCGACACATTTCTAATTCCCAATTTTGACTATAAATTTGTTAAAACCAAACCCCAAATAATCTTAAATATAACCCTAGATGTTATCTCACTGCGACCAATTGATTTTTTTTGTTTTTTTTTTTTTGCGTGACATGGGATTTTTGAATGATATGACATTAAAATTTTATAAGTATAAATATCAAAATTTACATAGATATGCAAATACAAAAGCATTGTGTCATATCTATGTAAATATTTCTTAAAAGGTTTAGAAAATTAGAATTCTATTAGCTAAGTTTTCCATATAATTTAAATGATGTTTGTCAATGACATTTTTTGGTAAGATACAATTGTTTTATTATCAAATAATCCGATCTCACGTTTAAATGAATTGGGGAAATCATGCTAATTTAGAGATTAGTATCCAATGACCATTTCTTATGCATAACTTCAACAAACTAATCACCTTTTATTGCACTAATTGTTCTTTACTATTAAATGCGAAGCTAATTAATTTCAAATGCTATCCACGTTAACCATCAAAGAAGACTTCATTTAATGAATTCACCCATCCATCATTCACTGCCTCATAAAAAACAATTATTTTTCCCAATTAACACTCTAATTAACCCAAATGATTAATCAATCAAATTTTATATTACATTTATTTTAAAATAAATTAATTTTAGGAAGATTTACATACATACCTTTATGTATTTAATTATCTAATATCAAAACTTTAATTTTAGACATATGCCATCATATCTATACATATGCAAAAATGTATTAAAAGTAAAAATAGTGATATTTTTTTATGTGATATAACATATTTAAATGATGTAAATATAAAAAGTAGAATTTAGATGTTTGATATGTAAATACATAGAAAATGCCCCTTAAATATTTGCGTACATAAGACGTACGCAGAGTTGCGTACATATTAGATTATTCGGAGGGTAAATGTAAGTTACACTTTGGTTATACCTCTTGTAAGTCTCTCTGTAACCTAAGTGTAACCTACATGTACCCTCTCAATAATCTAATATGCACATAACTCTACGTAAGACATACACAAATATTTCACTTTTTTTGTATAAACAGCGTGAGATAAAATGCAATAATTAGACCGATCACATTATTTACGGTAACACTCTGCCGGTCGGGTCTTATCTAATTGGGCCAATTTTCCTAATCATCAAAATTTTCAGTTAGTGGAATTAGAGACGATAAAGCCCATTATTTATAAAATGCAGCCCGATTAGTGAAAATATTAATCCCAGCTATAATGCCAACAACTCTACCCACCCATTCATTCTGGCCTTCACGGGTTAAAGGATTTGGGTTAGACCTGATAATGACCCGACATGGCCGATATTATTTTAACCCGACCCATTTGTTCAAATGGGTTGAAAATCTGATTGGAACTCAACTAGCCCATGACACGATGACATGACTAACCTGAGTCAAACTCACTAACATATTTACATATTTATGAATAAAAATATGATACATATATGTAAAATATAAAATCATTATAAAAGTCTACTCGTAAACTAACGTAATAAAGTTAAGTATAAGACATTCATATAATTTGCAGTAGGTTGGTGGGTCAATTTAACCTCTATCTAATAATCACAGCTAAAATTTTTTAACTCAAACTCAGTAGAAAAAAATAATTTATTTATTTACAGATTATTTAAATCCTTAACGTACGCTTTAAAAAGCACGGCACATATTTTTCATGTATAAATTTATGATATCAAAATATTATAAATATAAATATCAAAATTTACGTGATGGAAATATGAATACTTAATGCATAAGAATTATGATGTGGTATGCAGGCAAATTTTCTAAAATTTATATAATCAAAATTTAAACCAAATTATTTTAGATTAAGAGTCTGTTTGGGGCAGCTGCAATCTATCGAATAATCTGCTGATAAGCTAGATATAGTGGCTATTACAACTTTTTATTTTTTTTTGGAAAAACCAGACCTCAGTCAGAAAGCTGCCACCCCACCTAGATATGTGCGGTGTGAAAACGCTATTTCCAGCGTTTTGAAAATACATAATCTGTCAAAATACAGTTTACTTAAATAGATTAGGTGTATTTTCGAAAGGCTACGACACCGAATAAACTGTCTCAAACACACCATAAATTCATATGAAATTATATCATGGTGTCATTTAAAGCCAACCTCACGTCCAATAATTAAAGCATAAAGTCAACAAATCAGGTCGAAAATTACGTAATTCTGCAAACTATTTAAATAATATAAAAATGTAAAAAATCAGACGAAATTCCATGAAGCCAAACCCGTCGTGGTTGCGAATCAAGGGCGGCTATAAGAGGGCAACATGTTCTGCTCATTACCTCGCACCGCCCCCGCGGTTCGGTTAAAAAAAAAAAGAAAAAAAAGGAATTTTTTGTTTCTTTTTTCGCTCCATATTTACTCAGATTTCTTCTTTACATCGCCTTCCGTCTCCGATTCACACGGAATCTGGTTACGAGGAGAAAGCATTGTGAAAAGAAGGTGAATTGGAGTGGGAAGCAAGGAAGGAACGGAGGAGAGACGGAGAAATTGTGATTTTTAGTTCCATCGCGGCTGAGTGGAGTGGTGTTTGGATCATCGTTTTCTTGATTTGCATTCGTTTTCCAGTTTCTGCGATCTGAAATCGTCTTTGGAAGGAGGGTTTCGATCAGGGTTTTGTTTGGGTGATAGACATGGCCGGATTTGTTGGGGTGGTTGTGTCTGATCCGTGGCTTCAGAGTCAGTTTACGCAGGTGGAACTTCGAAGCCTCAAAGCCAAAGTAAGCAATCCCAACCAATGATCTTCATCCAGCTCTGAAAATTGAATGTTTCTTCTTATTGGTTTGTTGAATTGATTGTTTGCGTTGAATGTTCTGGGATCGGATAGTACATATATGTAAAGAGGGAGCATGGTCATGTCAGAGTAAGAGATTTGCCGCCTGCCATGGCGAAAGTCAAGAGCATCAAGGATTTGATCACTAAAGAGGAGATTTCTTCCATCTTAGAAGAGTCTTATCCGGACACTGATCAAGAGATTGAGTTCGAGCAATTTCTCCGGGTATTGAATTGAGTTGTTTCTTAGCTTCAGATTCGTTTTCTGTTTCGTATGTTATCGTTCGAATGTTAGGGTTGATGACTTAGAATTGCTGCTCAGGAATGTTTGAATGTGCAAGCAAAAGCAGCAGGGAAATTGGGTGGTTCGAAGAGTCCATCTTCATTCTTGAAGGCTTCCACCACCACACTTCTGCACACTATAAATGAATCAGAAAAAGCCTCTTATGTGGCTCATATAAACGCTTATCTTCGAGATGACCCATATTTGAAAACATATCTACCAATTGACCCGGCTTCAAATGAAATCTTCAACTTAGTCAAAGATGGCGTCCTCCTCTGGTAAGTTGTTTTTGGTTGAGGTTGTATCAGCAAATCTTAAATCTCCTTTTGTAAAATGAGCTAAAGTGCATTATTATGATTTCATGCAAACTAATGACCTCCCATTCACTTGCAGTTCTTAGATTGGCGGCCAAATAATGTGTGGATTTTGCTATTATAATCATTGATGAATTCTTATGTTTGTTTTTAGTAAATTGATCAATGTTGCTGTGCCGGGGACGATAGATGAGAGGGCGATCAATACAAAGAGGGTGATGAATCCTTGGGAGAGGAATGAAAACCACACTCTTTGCCTCAACTCTGCAAAAGCCATTGGGTGCACTGTAGTTAACATTGGGACTCAAGACTTGATTGAAGGGAGGGTAAGTTTCTCCAATTCCACTTTGTCTTAGAATGATAATCATCTTTCAAATTTTTTTTTTCCACTTTTAATGCAAAGCTTTAATATTGTATTTTCTTAATCTTATTCTTTTTGGTTTCTTTCTTTCAAGTTTGTTTTTATTATGACTCTTATAGCTGATGAAGTAATTCAAGATCTGTGAGTGTCTGGTGTATATCATAGCCGTCCATTTTTGAGCAATAATTAGTTCACAATTTCAAAATTTCTTAATTTGATGTGGAGTGTGGAGCATTCATTGGCTTTTTTTTTGATTAATGACAAATTTTGCGGATGGATTCATTGAAATGCATTTATCCATGCTTACCAGAGCCATCTGGTCTTTTGATTCCACATTTTGTAAAATGTGTTTTTTTCTCCTCTGTTTTGAATAAAATTTTTATGGTGATTATTTGAATTGTTCAAGCGAAGGTGGTTGCTGTGCTACGAAACCAGCCTTTAAACTCAGTCTTATAGAAAATTTCTGACATGAAATTCTTAGCTCTAGTTTTTTGTAAAAAAATTAGATTTAAAGAAAATTGCATGACATAAAATTTTTAGTTATAATTATTTGGGATTTGCAAGAATGGTGGTCCTACAGGAGTGGTTAAGTTAACTCCATTGTGCTGTGGAGATCACAAATTCAAGTGGCAAAAATAGGCTCTCTGCAATGCATACATATGTCAACCTTTACCAGAGCTCACATTGTTGGGAGCTTTATGCATCGGGCACAACAATTTTTCTAGTTGGAGTTATCATGCTTTGGAATTTTTCTTTCCATCTATTAACCATTTTTCCCCTTTTGCAGCCTCATTTGGTGCTGGGTTTAATTTCTCAAATTATCAAGGTAAATATTAAAATTTGTTTTATTTGCATCCAAATTGACAAGAAAAAATCTTCATTTCAAAGTTGAAAGGTTACCCATTGTTTATGGAATTGCGCAAGTGAACGTAGCCTTTCTATCCTTTGAGGTGGACTAAACAATTTGAACATTTTATGTGTATCTGTATGTGTTTCGTGAGTTATTGAGAGAATACAGGCTTGATATTATTTTTTGTTATTAGATACAACTCCTAGCAGATCTCAACTTAAAGAAGATGCCTCAATTGGTGGAGCTGGTAGATGATAGCAAGGTGGTACAACGTCAGCTGCTTCTCACTCTTGTATTTTATCAGTTTTCAGTTCTTCGAATTGTTATCACGGGTTACCCTTTTGTTTTGGTTTTACAGGATATTGAGGAGCTTTTGAATTTACCGCCTGAGAAGATGTTGCTTAAATGGATGAACTTTCATCTCCAGAAAGCTGGTTATAAGAAACCTGTAACAAATTTCTCTTCTGATTTGAAGGTAAATAAAAATGCGCTTATCAACTTGGAGAAGGAATTTCTTGATAATGTACTCATGCCAGATATCATTATTCTAATTCAACAATATAATTCTAATTATTTCAGCTAAAACTTATCAAAACAATTGCTGTAGATATGAAAACATGCATGTTATCTTTGCTTTATTGTAAGTTATCATTGATAAAGGATCATAGATTCTTAGGCCACATGTTTGATAAGCAGAAGGCGAGTACCTCAGTGTCTTTACTTCAGCTTTGATTGGCCTATGATTTCCCATTATCAGATTAAATTTATTAATTACTGATAAATTTTTGCACATGTCTATCAGTAGAGACTTGTGTTTATGCAGGCATTAGTCAATAAAGCTGTCCACATTCCTGATCTTACATCTGCTGTCCACATTCCTGTATGTAAATATGAAAGTTTGGGTGTGAGATATGTAAATTCATAAGAATTATTCATAAGAATTATGTGCTTCATAAGAATTATGTGCTAAATATTCCCTTTTTTTTGCTTTTTTGTTTTTTTTTGGGTGTGCGCTCACACATTGTTGTTCGTCATGCTGTCTAGTTTTTTTGATTTTTTTTTCTAAATTTTTTATAGTGGTGTGACAGTTATCATTTCCTTACAACTTACAGTATCAAGTCTTTGATTTCAGGATGGAGAGGCGTATGCATACCTTCTGAATGTTCTTTCCCCAGAGCATTGCTCTCCTGACACTTTAGATGCCAAAGATTCAACCGAAAGGGCAAAGCTTGTGCTTGACCATGCAGAAAAAATGGACTGTAAACGATACTTAACTCCAACAGACATTGTTGAAGGATCAACAAACCTCAATCTTGCTTTTGTTGCACAAATATTTCATCAGAGGTTAGAATGTTTGGTTCTTTACCATTTTTTCTCATATTATAACAAGTTGCTTCAACATGTAACTATGTATAGAACTTCCAATTTATTCACTTCTAGAGTTAAGTAGTACATAATTCGATTTTCAGGTGAAATTTTGCAGTCAAACAGAACACATGCTAGCTGAAAAAGAGGTTTCATAGTACTTATCTCAAATAGTTGGGATAAGACTAATCATGATGATATTATTAAAAAAATTATTAGAGGGGTATTAGTATTTTGTTAAAAATTAAAAGAAGCCTTTAGTGAATAAGGATTAACTTGACTCAGAAGTTTTGTTCTTTCTGCTACCACGTGTAACATTCACGAAACATGTTTGATAGGAATAATTACTTTGAAATCACCTTTTTAGTGCTAACTCTTTTGAGTGTAGATCTCTTCATACTGCTTATGTTAAAACTTTTACACTACTCCTATTGTTTTTTTATTTTCATTTTTAATTCATTATATCTTTTTAGGAAGATTTACATACATATTGCTCAATTTGTATGTATCTAATATCTAATACCCACCCAAACTTCAATTTTTAAATACACACCACCTTACCTATGCATGAAATGGTGTATTTCACATTTTAAAAATTAAAAAGGTGGTATTTATGATGTCATATGAAAGATTTGGGTGATATAGATTTAAAGAGAAAAGTGTAAGTGTTAGATATGTAAATACATAGGAATTGAGTGGTATGCATGTAAATGCCCCATCTTTTTATTGCTTGATTGAACCTGAGCTAAATTTAATTGTATTATTGGCAGGAATGGCCTTTCCACCAGCAGCAAAAAGATGTCCTTTGCAGAGATGATGCCTGAAGAAGTGCAAGCATCTAGAGAAGAAAGAGCGTTTAGGATGTGGATCAACAGTCTTGGAATTACTACTTTTGTCAATTGTGTATTCGAAGATCTGAGAAATGGGTAGGGATTTTTTCTAGCTTTTTTGGGGCAATTACATAAATAGCACTCCAAAACTCGCTATTTATAGAACGACACTCTCTATTATCCATTTTCCAAATTCCCACTCAAATTTTAGGGATTACATTTGCAGCACACAATTCTTATGCATTTACCCATCTCACACCTAAAGTTTTATTTTTACACATATAGCACTTTACCTATGGATGAAAAAGATGAATTTGACCATTAAAAGATAATAATGAGTGCTATTTTTCATATTGTACTTGGAAATATGAAAGCTTTGGTGTGAGAAAGGTAAATTCATAAGAATCTATGTCAAAATTCATGATAAAACCCCGACCCATATGTTTCCTTTTAATCAAATTACTAATGGTTTGATTTTTGGCATGCGTATATGCATTGGCTTGATAGTTCAAAAAGTCATCTGGGTGATAGTTTTGTAAATAGCAATGTTTCAACTGATATTTATGCAATAATACCTTTTTTTTATTGTTTGTCTTAATTTGGCGGGATGCAGCTGATTGATCATATATATATATATATATATATACTTCTACAGATGGGTTCTTTTGGAAGTACTCGACAAAGTGTCTCCAGGATCAGTTAACTGGAAGCATGCATCAAAACCCCCCATAAAGATGCCGTTTCGTAAGGTAGAGAATTGCAATCAAGTTGTGAGAATTGGAAAACAGTTGAAACTCTCTCTAGTTAATGTGGCAGGGAATGACATTGTTCAAGGAAATAAGAAGCTCATCCTTGGTGAGTTTTCTTAAATTCCACTTTAAAATACGCATTTGATATAGTTATTTACAAGTGGAAGGTTCACTCATCTCATGTTTTCCTTTTTTGCTTTAAAAACACATTTTTATCCTTCAATTTTTAATCTTTCATTCTATCCTTCCTCTTTTATCTTCTTGGTGGATGACTCCAATACACACACACAGATATATATATTATATTTTAAATAGGTTTTTAACCTATATATTATATGAAGAATATTAATTGAAATATTCATGACATAATAAAATTCAGAATTTATTTCCTTAAGCCATAAGTTATGCGGCCTTACACGGAAAATGGAGAATAGTGCAAGAACAATGCATCCGGTGAGCTAATGTATTTCTCCTGAAGGCTGATCGTACTAGGGATCCAGAAATTTCTCTTTTTCGTTACTAAATTGCATTGCATAGTTGGAAGAATTTTGAGCTAATTTGTATTTTCTTTGCATAATTGGAAGAATTTTATCTTGCCATCATTTTCTGAAACAAAACAGTCCCTTCTCACTACACCATTCCAACTACCAATATCATCCCTCTTGTTATCATTTTTATTTGAAATGATAATTGCAAAATATGTGACTCACACTCATAACCTTAAGATAAACAATCTTTTCCATTACATAACTGGCCGCGGTTCCTTTCACACATTGTTATCATATTACTGATGTAAATTTTTTGGGCTGTTCTCTCACTTTGTATTATTTCGTTATTCCTAGTCCTTGTCTCCAGCCAGAGATAGACTGGTTTTATTTATTTATTTAATTTTTTTCACGACTTTGTTCCTTCTTCACAGTTTTTATTGTGAACATATGCAAGTTTTCTATGAAATCTAATTGAAAGAATTACATAAATACCACACAATTCTTATGTTACATCTCTAACACCTAAACTTCAAATTTTACATACATGCCACCTTACCTATTCATGAAAAGGTTTCATGAAAAGGTGTATTTATGAAAAGGTGTATTTCACTTTTTTAAATGTTAAAATGGTGGTATTTGTTATGCGATATAAAAGCTTTGAATGGTATAAATGTAAAAAAATAAAGTTTAAGCGTTAGATATGTAAATACATAGGAATTGGGTGGTATGCATGTAAATGTCCCAAACTAATTTCTTTGGCCTTCCTAGGCTATATTTTACTTTTATTTCGTTTAATATGACTTGTATAAATTTACATTTCGGTTTCTTAAGACATGGAAGTAATAATGCACTTTTATGGGGCATTACTTCAGCTTTTTTGTGGCAATTGATGAGATTTGACATACTGCAATTGTTGAAGAACCTGAGATTCCACTCTCAAGGAAAGGAGATGACTGATTCTGACATAATAAATTGGGCAAATAGAAAAGTCAAGAGCTCTGGCAGAACTACACAAATTGAAAGTTTTAAGGTACATAATTTTGGATATATCGCTTGCTATTTATCTACTGGTAATGCTCTTTATTTACTTTTCTTTCCCCATTAGGATAAAAGCCTATCCAGTGGATTATTTTTCCTTGAATTACTAAGCTCTGTGGAACCAAGAGTTGTCAACTGGAACCTTGTAACGAAGGGTGCAAACGGTATGCTATTTATAAAGAAGCTTCAAATTTTTTTCTTATTTTTGTAATAATGCAAATTAAATCATATTTCAGATTAGATTCAATACATTTTTTCATTAAATTTAGATGATTTTTGTTCTCTTATTTATTATCTGATTCTCTTGCATTCTACAAAATGCAGATGATGAGAAAAAATTGAATGCTACATACATAATCAGTGTGGCTAGAAAGCTTGGTTGCTCTGTCTTTCTGTTGCCCGAAGATATAATGGAGGTAAATAACAATTTATTGATTATTTTTTGTCTTATTTTATGCATTGTTTTGTTTATTGAGCGGAAAGGATCAGGTTTATTAACACCTTATTTTTTAACGGTCAAAATAGCTTTAAAAGCAGACCCAAGCTCTTCTCTTCATCCGGTAGATTAAGGGTCTATTTTGGGCAGTTACAGATTATTGATAATTTGCTAATAAGCAGCTGACCCAGATAATCTGCCAAGATAAACTGTTGATCAGTAGCTGATCAGAATAAGCTGGTTGCCTGTTTGGTTTGTGCGTTTGAAAACAACTAATTTGCAGCTGTTTCTGGATAAATGACCATTCTGCCCCTGTACAGTAATGCTGTTAGCAACATAACTGTCATAGCAAAATATTTGATACTTGAGAAACAAAAAATAATTCAGAACAGTAAAAAAAATAAGATACAGACCTCACTTAACAATGTGTATAAAAAATCATTAAAAAAAGGGAAAAAAATTAAAATTACAACTAAAATTATGATAACATTAATTTTTGATCGGAAAAAAGACAGTTTACGAGCAATTTTGAACATAATCCAATTCAAACATAATTAATTTTGAACGAGCCGAACACGAGTTTAAAAAAATGTGAACAGATTACTGGAAGAGGAAATGTGAGGATAATTAAGAAGATAATAAATGAGCTGAGATTAAAATGAAGAAAATAAAAAATAGGATTTAAATGTCAGGATAATCAAGAAAGGGGACTCACATGAGGGTTTGTGTACGAGTGGTTGCACCAAAAAGTACACGGTAGATCTCGACAACCTTTTCTTCCAACTTGAGCTGCTCCAATTGTGTTACTGTAAGTGTTCTCAGCTAGTGATCGCTATCGGAGTGAGAAGAAAAAGTCGGAGACGACGGCGCAAATGATGCGGTAGAGGATGAGTCGATAGGAGAAGACTCCATGGATATCGATTCTAAGTCAACAAACGGAGCCTTGGATCTTTTCTTCTCCTTGTCGTGGCCTGCTGAGCGGAATGCGCCGAGAGGAGGACATGAATAGCTTGGAGGTTTTTGGGTGACGAAAGCGTGACGACGAGGGCAAGGAGGTAAGTTTTTAACTCCAAACGCGGGCCATAGGGTTCGACCCACGACCAACGTTTAATACAAATTAAAACGCACGTATCACGATACACAATCCGAATGGAGAAACCAAACACATGAGCCGTGTTTTCAAAACTTGTAAGCTTTAAATAAGCTGCGCCAAATGACCCCTAAGAAACACAATTTGGTGATGGATGTTTGGGTTTGTTGGGATATCGATAATATTTCATTTATGGGGCATTTACATACATACCACACAATTCTTATGTATTTACATATCTAACACCAAAAGAAAGATTTAACGTGACAAAAACGACGATCAATGATTTACGGCAAAGTAAGATTTACCGTGAAAAAAATTCATAGTGAATTTTTTGATATGGTGTGGCTCCATGAACACACAAATGATCAATGATTTAGATTTGTAAAAAAGATATTGCTCGACTTTTTTAAAAAAGAAATATTTAAAGACCGGTAACAGCTTTTAAAAAGGTTATTTTACTGACATTCACTTTTACAAAATGTTGCAGTTCACTTTTACGAAATGATTCACCCACCCCAAATGAATCGTCATCTTATAATCAGTGCTTTTGAAAATCCACTTGCATGCTGTCAATGCAGGTAAACACAAAGATGATCCTCGTCTTCACGGCCAGCATCATGTGCTGGAGCCTCCAACAAGCTTCTGAAGATTCCGAAACCTCGGAGGTCTCCACCGATGACTCGAACTCTCTGAAAGCTCCCTCAGACGGCGAAGACTCCAGCAGTGTGGCTGCTGATATCTTCTCCAACCAAAATTTAGATGATGCTGCTTCAGACACTTCGCTTGTAGAGAACATCTCTTCCATTGGAGAAGAAATGGTTGCAGTCTCTCCAGCCAATGATTAGCTCCACTTCAAGCAGGAATATTGTTCAAAAACAAAATATACATAAGGTGCTCTTTTCTTGGTCATGGAAGGCTTTCAAGTAAGTTTGAATATGTAATTCTTTTTTTTTTTTCTTTTTCTTTGAAGAGGGTAAGGGAGGGAGAATTGGTGGGGGTTTTGGGTGTGAAGAAAGAGGGTGATAAGCTTTTTATAGGCCCCCTTTCATTGTAGTTTCATTCTTTCATTACATGATCTTGTGTTAAATAAGAGGAGCTTGATTAGGTGTTTCATAGTTGTGGGCTTTGGGAATACTTGATGGGGAACTTCTGCAGATATTTTAGTAATGAGTAAAGGTGTAAACAATTGAAGCTTAAGATAGCTTTGCTTGTGTTTGAGCTTGGCTCATGTTTAAACATTTTTGAAAATTTTGCCTATGCTTGATTTTTTTTATAAGCTAATTTTGGCTTGTGTTTAGTTCAAAGTTTATGGAAATGGTTAGGAATATGGTATACATTTGCATAATTGTAGAGGAAGATTATTATAGATTTGTGAGAACATGGTATAGGATTTTTCGATCGATGATGATGGTAAGGGTTCTAGGGAATGAAAGAGACTGATATGAGAAGCTAGGATTTTTAGTAAAGCCTTCTAGAGAGAGGAATAAGGAGTAAGATGATGAGGAAAGTTTATATTCCAAAGAAATAGAGAAGAAGAGAATTGGGAATATTGTGGGTGGAAACTCCCTTTGGAAGATATAAGTGATGATAGCTAAGTGACATGAAGAGCTTGGCTTTGAAAATAAGGAGAGAATAGGGGTGCTTCTCTTGATTATTTGATTAAAATTCAATAGCCAAAATAGAAGAATGAAGCAAAATATAATTTTAATATAAGAGACATAGACACATACAAATCTAAATGAACGAGTCCATTTGATGGACAACTTGAACTTGACTCGATTAATACTCGATCATGTGTGTTCAAATTAGTAAATAAAGAAGTTTGAATATTTTTTAAAATGCAAAGGTCAAGTTGAATATAATATAACTCATTTATTAATGGTCAAGAACAAGCTCATTAATGTTCAACAAGTAATTTGTTAAATATTTTATATCAATATCATATATTATTAATATAATTTGATTGATTGAAATTTAATTAATTATATATTTAATAATATTAAATTATAATATTAAATTAATATGCTTATAAATTATATTAAAAAAAAAACAAGAAGAAAATATGAAGTGGATGAGGGAAGTTTATAATCCAACGAAATAGTGACGAAGAGAATTAGGGAAGTTGTAGGTTGGAAGCTCCCTTTGGGAAGATAGAAATGATGATGGCTAAGTGAGATGATGAGCTTGGCTTTGAAAGTACAAAGAGATAATATAGAAGTGTGCTTCATAATTGTTTGCTTAAAATCAAATAACCCAAATAGAAGAATGAAGATATAAACACACATAGTGCTCTAATCAAATCAATGCACTTATGAACAATTTGAACTGGGCTAGATTGATACTCGATCGTGTTTTTTCAAATCAGTAGATGAACTAGTTTGAATATTTCTTAAAACGAAAAATGTTAAAAGAATCAAATTGAACATAGTACAACTCACATATTTATGTTCACGAACAAGCTCGTTATTGTTCAACAAATAAATAGTTAAAAGTTCCATATGAAGATGATATATTATTTAAATAACTTTTGATTAATTAAAATTTGTTTAATTATATATTTAATAGTAATATACTATAATTTAAAAATTGATCTACTATTTTATATTAATGAGCTAATTTATTTGAATTTATATATGTTAATTGACTGTAAGAAAATTTACTTATAATTTATATATCATTTTATTTACTTGATATAAACTAGCTATATGCTATATTGAAATTTAATCAATTGTTCATTTATTTAGACTTGCTAATAATTTTATAAAAAAAAAATTTTTATTAAAATTTCTAGCTTGTTTTAATTTTTATATAAAAAGTAAGTGTAAATAGAATTTTTAATTTTATATTAAAAATAAAATATTTATTCTAATTTTTGGCTTTTTCAGTAATATAGATAAGTCAAATACAAATCAAATATGATCATTAAAAAATATAAGCAAGCTAAATATGCATATATATATATATATATATA